GGTCACACTAAAATCAAGACACTTGCGGGACAAAAAGAAGGGTTGGTTGGTGGCGGGGAAAAAAAAGAAAAAGTCGACTATTCTTCCTCATCATCACTTGGACTCGATGCCGCCGCAATCTTTGAAGGGGTGAGAAGCGACGGCCGCCCACTTTGCTTCGTTTGAAAGGTCCAGCTCCTGGGTGTTGTCGATCTGGGTTTTGACCCGTTTCCACAACTTGGACGGGTACTTCTTTCCAACACCGTAGCGTTCGCAGATCGGGTCAAGCACGCCCTTGGGAATCCTTGACAACCCCGGCTGAATGCCCATCGCAATTTCTACCGCCATGGCATAGCGCCTACCAACCGATAATTCGGTGCCCCTTTTGCGAGGTGGTGTGCTGGGGGGCGATTCCATCGCTAGAGTAGGGTAGTAAAATGGATTTGAGAATTTTGTCGAGAATTCTCAAAAAATATCCCAAAATATTTTCTCAAAAATATTCCCAAAACAGGCTAAAATAGGGTACATTTTGACCAATAGTAGATACAGAAATAGGTGTTCGTTTTTTTTTAATTTTTTTTCCATCGCTTCTTTGTTATATCTTTCTTACAAACCCGACTATGCTACCATCACTAACACGGTTGCACCCAGACAATCTATTGCATTTAGGTACCCTAACTTATGATACAGAGGAAGTATTATTAATAGCTCTCACAAGGAAGGATCGTTTTGTGGCCGTGTTTGCGGTTATTGGGCGGAAACTTCTATGCAAGCAAGTTTGCTGTAGCATGAACTCGCGGAGCCTTATTACAGTGGTTGAAGTATCCGATGTTGTTTTCCGTGGAACTAGCCACTCTAAATATTTACGTTATTTTATGGTGGTGTGAATATGAGGTACAATCGACCTGCTCGCCACATTTTTTTTGTTTAGTTAGTTGGAGATTCGACGTTATCGACGTGCACGTCACAAAATGGATTCCGCCTACGACTGCGACATAGGCGGGCACCTGTCGAATGGCGAGCTGAGCGTATGCACGTGAGGACATGAGGTGGCTGCCAACAGTACTACAGCAATTGTCCATGATACGTTGCGTTTGATATGGAAGGCATTTAAGCATTGGGAATTAATTTTCTTGGTATCAACCAAAGAGGATTGTTGGTAGACACCCGAAAGTTCCGCCATCCGCCACATGCGTGAAGACGACGCTATTGTCCAACCTCGACGATGATGATGATGCAGTTGGCGAGGGATGCGTTGTTGGTCCACGGCCCTCTGGCGCACCGCTTGGGCATACACCAGCTGAGGAACGAGTTCGAGACCGTGGCGTTCGGGAGACTCTTTCCCCAGCAATTCAACAAGGTGCCTGCCTTCTGTTGCTCGTGGGTCATTAAATATATGTGCGGAGCATGAAGCAACGTGAGCATTGTCGAGCGCCACGGCCTGGGAGTATGCTGCGATAGGGTGCTAAAGATCATCAACCACTTTGAAGCAAGTGCGCACGAGTCAACCATGAGTAGTGGCTTGCTGCAGTTGGAGCTATGTAGAGCAAGAGGCGCACAATGTCGAGCAGGAGTTGAAAGTTCGCCGTTCGGCAAAGTCGAAGGTATCGAGTTACGCGAAGTGCATGAGGACGTCATGACGTCATGCTTTCGGGCGACAGGATAACTGCTGTGGTTGCCGGTGGTTCGAGTTCTCACTCTTTTTCCTGCTGTACGGTTTCTATGCTTCAGGTACGCCAAGCTACGATGGACCGATCTTCCGTGTACGAGAAGGTGGTGGAGGCTACCAAGGCCACGCTGAAGCAGGCGTTAAGAGACGCACCGGCTTTCACAAACCAGGTGGGTGCTGCTTCCGGCCACGATATGTTTCCGATATCGCCTTAGCACTGCAGTATAACAGCACTCGTGGTTATCTTTTGCGCGGACAACACCGTTGACACACGGAGGTATCGTCAGATCTTTCTCCACAGCCAGCAAAAATGCGCCGCTTCTCCAGACTGCTGAGTTGTCGGTCATCCTGCTTCCTACTGGTGATTATGCTTGTGCAGGTGTTTGAGGCAATGCTGTTATTCTCCATGTCGCCGAGACGGGCGACGCACTCTTGGCAGCCAGTCGCAAAAGTGATGTGCATACATACAAGTGCGTCGGTGGAATCCTACGGTGATGGCGACCGGGGTATGTTCCCCTGACTTGCGGTCGCCACGCGATTTGTGATATCCCCAGCCTCTCTGTTCTCGCTGTCGTTTTCTTTTTCTCAGCTTACTGGAGAAGCTACTCTGCAACACCGAATCAAATCTCCCTATTCGATGTGGAAGAAAATGGAGAAGAATCAGGTATGCGGTGGAAGACTGCCAGTATCACGCCTTAGTCCTTGCCAAGTATCAGGGCAAACGGTATGGCGTGGATCATGCCTTGGGTGTTGCAGTTGGTTGTTTCGCTTCACCTCAACATTTCCGTTTCTCGTTGCTATGCATGCATGCCCACATTCCTGCCCTGTCGTGGTACGGAGTAGTCCCGTACCCCCGGTTGTAAAGCTCTTCAATTTCTTTCAAAATGTCACCACTGCTGTGTTCATGGTAGGGCAACAGCATCTACGGGATGGTTGCCGGTTTCGGTTCAACTAAATAACAGCTTACGCAGTACTGTAGCAGCCATTTTTGTTCAATGGAAGGACGTGTTCTACGTCGTACACCCAACATGTGTTGACGGCGCGAGTGACCTTGTTAGTGTAAGACCATCACGGCTACTTGAAGCCGCGGCAGACCTTGTGCCGAGCGTACAGCAGTGTTTCCAACGCTTGGTTCAGCAAGTGTGATATGGTCCGTCGTGATCCGGCGGCTGCGAGAGCAAAGAGTAATGATGCCAACAATAGTGACGGTTTTGGTGGTGCAGGTCGGTGTTGAAGGCGTGTTCGATGCTGTGGCCGTGCGAGTGGTTTTAGAGGCTCGGAAGTGGCAAGGGGAGTCGCTGGAATCATACACACAGCGCTCGGAGGACCTCTGCTACCAGGCAAGCCCATGCGTTTGATATTCCTGCGTGACACGCATGGTGGACTTGTCTAGTGGTATCAGAAGCTTGAGAGCATGCACGATGAGCATGGTTGACGCACATTCCCTCCGTGCTATCTGCTCGTCGCTAGGTGTGTATGGTGCCGTACTCATTGGCGGGGAGTTACCCACCTGCCTACGATGTGCTTGAAACCTCGCTTGTCCCGTCGTATTCGCTCCAGGGAAAACGAGAGAGCCTTAAACGAGGAAGACGAATATGCACGAGTGTCGCAACGAAGTATGTTAGGGGATTCTCGCCATGAGCGTCCCACGCCTTCTTTGAAAACATGTGAAGGGATCGATATCACCAATGCCTGCTATATCACGTACCATGGTGTGCCTTGTCAGACAGCCCCACAGCTATGTTGGTTGCACGCATTTTCGATCACCAGTCGCATAGCTTGAGTATTCGAAAGCTCAGCCAGCTGTGTTGGTTGGACACATGCTTCGTGCCGGCATGATCACGCGCGCTCTCCTCTGCCTCGTAGATCCTAGCGGCTAACATGTATCTCTGCACACTTTTAACATTTTCAGGCTATGTCGGTGATCAAGAAGCTATACCCGTGGTCGCAGTCACAGCAGCGTGTCAAGGACTACGTGGTTAAGCCCAAGCCCAATGGATACCAGAGCCTCCACGCTACACAGCTCGTGCCGGATGTTACGGATATGACGAGGCATGGCCCATCCGTCGCGATTGAATTCCAGGTACACCCCATCCTTATTCTACCCGAAACGCAACATGATTGTTGTTTCTCTGTCGTTTCGTTTTTGCAGTGGGCGAATGTCTTTCGTGGTTTTGATTTGAGTTATGCAAGTGTCTGCTCGTGTGCTGCTCGATGTGCTTTCCGCTCACAGGTGCGGTCGAAAGAGATGCATCAGAAGGCCGAGTTTGGTCTGGCGGCCCACTGGAGCTACAAGGAGTCGTCATCCAGCATGCCGGGTGGTCTTGGTTGGGTGGAGGACACCAACACGACCATCACACGGCCTCACACCCGCAAGGTGTGCACCGGGGCGTGTACCTACGGTGCTGATGTCAAAAAAAAAATTCATGGATGGATACAAGCAAGTCTAAACGCCGATCCTAGATACAACGTTTTGAGTTTTTTGCTGCGCGGGTTGTCTGCTGTACAGCAGTGGGTCCAACAATAGCCTTGCGTATACGCACTGGCCGCTCGACTACCCCCCCCCAAGTGTCGACCAACCTTGGATTTATGCCGCTCTTTCCCCCGGCCAGATCGAAACTGCTGTACATGCATATTGCGAGGCCCCGCAAGGTAGCGCTTGTTATGCCCCTTGCACCATCCATGGTTCGCAAGCTCCCTGAGCTCCCTGTTAACGTGCCACCATCTTGTTCATCACGTTGTTGTGTTGCTTGCCTTGCTTGCATTCAACCTGGGTCTATCCGTGGCACGATGCGGCGTGAACACGCACCATTCGTTGAGTTATCCCTTGAATTATCTGATGTTTTGCATTTTTATTGTTTCGTTTGTTTGTTGTGCGGGATCTTACGGTGCCTCCCTTCTCTCTTCCAGGCCCCCGGAAAGGCAAGAGTACCCGACTCTGTCACGTCAGGACCGGAACTGGTCGATTGGCTCCGCAGAGAACTTAGGGAACGCAAGGTAGACCGCAGTGCTGGACTAGGACGTGAGGACACGTTGTTGAAGCTTGTCACCCGCATCGTATGCTCCACTTCAAAAGGCTACGTGTTGATTTTGGAACATATGGTACAGTGGGCTAAACGTATCTGCTACAAGGGTAGAGGCGAGACACCGGAAACCCCCGTTCTCGCGGAAAAGCTTGTGCAAGAGTTGGTTCTCGGCTGGGGGAGTACGGAGTCTTCTCTGTACGGCGAATTCTAGTGATTTTGTTACTGCTTCTTCCGCTGGCCGGATAACGGGAGCCTGGCATCGTGTTTACACTACTCTGGAACGAGTTATTTCGTGCGTGCTAAACGAGGCTATCGAAAGGAGCGTTGAAGGACCCTGTTCGTGCTGTAACCATGCTGGAACGACGGAGGCTACCAAAAAGTTGAAAACCACCATGTTACGGAAGTCTTTTTACTATTTTAGTACTTCGTTTACTGTTCCCTCTCGCCCCGACCCCTCCGCAGGTGTTCGTATTCGGGCCTGATAGGAAGATCTGGGAGCTGGACAAGGGTTCGGCGACAGCGGGGGACGCCTTGGGGCGATCGTACATGCAGAAGTTCTACGAGGGAGCCTTGCTGCACGACCGAAGAAATATTAAGTCAGGCGCCAAGGGGCAGGGCGCAAAGAGGAAGACACGTACTGCGTGGGTTAATGGCCGAGAGGTGTGTGCCGTGATAAGCATAACCGTGCCAGAAATAAGTGCCCGGGAGTACATCAGAAAGCACTTGCACTTCACGTTGTGCCACGTTCTGTCGGGTACGCGATCGCACGTTCACATTCGGACACGACACGGAATGCATCAATGCAGCACACTGGCGCTGCCACCGTCACACATCGGGGGATGTGGCGGTGAAGGTGCTGCTTGCAAGTCACGCAAGCCGCTCACGAACTTCACGTCAACGCACATACGACGATGGCGATGGTGTTGATGGCTGTCGTTGGAGATGATGACTATTTTCTCAGGGGGACCCGCGTTCTCAAATATTTTAGTCCGTGGTTGCAGGATGGCGTTTCAAGTGCCGTAGGGTTCAAAACAGGCAGATTCCTATCTCTTCCGCGCCAGTGCCCCCTCCTCGGCGATGGCTTCGAGGATGTGCTCTTTTTCTTCACGATATGCGAATGTGGTCAGTTTGTTCACCATGTATGTTGCATATTTTCACGACGAACTTTCCCGTCGGCGCCAGGTGGACGCCAGCTATCTGCTCAAGAACGGGGACGTGTTCGATGTGGCACAAACCTCACATCAAGCACCAGAAGACTCGTCGCAAGACGCATCAGAGAAGCAACCCTCGGCAAAGGATGGGAAACGAAGAAATCCGGCAGAGGAGAGCAGCAGCAGTAGCTGGAGAGCGCTCTCAGCGCCTCCCACCAGAGGGCTGGCCGACTAAGCCGCCACGACTCGATGTGCTGACTGCTTTGATGACAAGAGCTGGCGTGTATCGTGTTCATACAACACCTATCACCGGACTGGTCAGCCAGGAGCTATGTGTAATACTTGCGCAAGCAGCAGTTTGTTGCCGAGGGGGTGCGTAGTGCGTGGCAGTAAATTGTTACCATGTATGCCGAAGGGCGCCTTCAATGTTGCCCTCTCTGCCTGGGGTCTGTAAGTTCTGAAAGATTTCGACGAAAGGTGGAGTTAGGACCACCAGGGACATGTTTCGCGCAGTCAGCTTCTCCGCACAATTGAGCCTGCTCTCTATGAGAAAGCCGTTGGCACCACCGACCGCAGTGCTTCAAATATTTAGGGACAACGTGAGACAAAAGGGGCCATTTTTGTAAAGAATTCATGCATGTATTGGGAAAGAGGACGCTCGACCAACAGAGGACGTTGCAGTTCGGTTTTGATTAGAAAGGGGGCCTACGCCGCTGTAGTTAGGGGCAGAGCGTGTTTTGCGTGGGGTTAGGTGATGATCGGTAAAAAAAAATGTTCGTGCACGTTCATGTGGTAAGATCGAGCTTCCACTCGTGTGGCCAATAGTAGTGTGGTTCTACTTTGTAGTCATTGCGGTTCTCGTAATATGCTTCTGCGATACGACCCTAGCCGCAAGAGATAGTAAACGCGATATGCATACGGAGTAGCGACTCTGGGGGGGTATCGATAGACGTAAAGTTGATAGACGGTTTACATTCTCTCTCGGTGTGGAGTCCGGGATGGTTTTGTAATAATGTTGTGACGTTTTTACTCCGAGTGAGGTTTCATTTCTGAAGCGTTGAGAAGACAAGAAAACACAGAGTTGTGCATGGCAAGGTGGAACACTCACGGTGAGCTACCGGTTCATGCAGGCAAAAAGGATCCCCGGAGAACAGCTTTTACGTACAGTATCCAAGTCACGATCTTGCGTTTGCCTCCCCTCTTCGCTATATCCTGGTGTATCACAGACAAACGTGACAAGCCAACGAGAAAGAGATACGAGTCACCGTGCCAGCGTAAGAATTGGCGTCACGTTTCCCTTATAGCCGCAATCTTAACGTGGAATGCATATGACCTCCAAAGGTGGCAATCGATGCTCGATATCAAAGCAACACATGGCTCCGTGAGGTGACACTTCAGCCCACATCTGGATCAGAGAAAGCACGCGACAACATCGCCAACCGAGGCATATAGCTGCAACGCCAGGAGGGTTTCGGATGTTGGTGATGTTGGTGATGTTGGTGCGCACGATCGCATACAACCCTTGTCGGCTCTTGGGCAGCAAAGACGGACGGCGCAACTGCTGGATCTCTTCGGCAAATGTTACCCTCAGCGACAAAGTCGGCAGTGGCCTTCTCGACAGTCAGGCGGGAAGGAATGAAGATGCTTCACCCAGCGGGCTTGTGACGCACTTGCGTCTGTCAGTCTTCGAGACTGAGAAGGCGTTTCCCTCTCTTGTTTCCCGCCATGATCTCCCGTACTAATGGTACCTGGTACGAACACCCCATGACGTCCAATCATGCCAAACAACACACACAGGGAAGCGCATCGGGTAAGCAATAGATCAATGGCCAATCACATGATCACTTATCTCCCCATACGACTCGCAGCGCTTTTCCCCTCGATCTCTTCGCCGCCTTCACAGTTAGTTTATTTACCTTCACTCAGGCGACATATGAACTACGACAAACACGGAGTAGACTACAAGTTGCCCATACACGGTGTGAGCACACGGATTCTATCGTTCTTAACAACAAATGCAGCGAGTTATTTCTAAGAGGATGTTGTGAGAGCTCACGAAAACGGTGGTAGATGTGATCGACTCCATAAAAAAGCCGGACCGTACAGCGGTGGAGGGCACCGCAGTCGGTCGTCGGGGAGAATTCTAAACACTTGAGAAACAAACGTTCTCGAAGCCACCAACGCGATTTGTTTGGCATCGCCGTCTTCGTCGTTTCCCGCAAGCCAAGCCGCACAAAATGATCACACCCTGTCGCTGAACAAAAGGATTTCACGCTACCATCGGTAGCGTAATACGTTCGCGCTGCATGACCACAAATACTGCTGATATATTTTCTCGCCTGACGCCCCCATGCCAAGACAGTTACGACGCCCTTTCTGCCCGCCCGTGCTGTCCTGCCGACCCTCCTCATGTACTCGATCGGATCTCGCGGGAAATCGTACAGTAGCACGTGCTCCACCTGTGTAACAGTGCCCGTTACCCCGATTGGTGATACAATGACAGAGCTTTTCAAAACAGGATCCAAGGCAAAATAATCGTCCATCCGTGCAGGGACAGAACAAGGAAGGAGTATGCATAGACTGGCCACATAGTTATTCCATTTCAGGGTTGGTCATCCTACTTAATGCACCACCGGACGCTCGTAGTGTTCACTTGTCCTGCGGTCTTGCCTCTCTTGACTCAAGAGCTTTGATCCTTCATCCAGGGTCACCCACAATATATATATATATATATTCTCCCATCATTGGACTCTATCGTCTGCCCCTCTGGCCCCTATCCTCCACTTCTACTAGCTAGACGACCCAACCGGGGTCACATAGGAGGGGGGGGGGCTGGACCCCCTCCTGCGGTTCCTGTCTGAGGTATTTTTATCGCGAGAAGGGTACAGCAATCCCTTCCCTCGCGACTTACGAAGTCGATTATGGTTCACTAACAACGAGCTTTACGCGCGTCGCTTTCATCCTAGACCAGGGTTTGTGTAGTGAGAAAAAAACTCACTCTGCCGGGACTCGAACCCATGACCTGGCCCTTGGCAGGCTGCGAATTTACCCACTAGACCCCCGGGGTGACCTGCACGTGTAGGTGGGGAACACGTGACCCCTACACCTAGCCTTTGTCTATCCTTCTACCGCGAGAAGGGTGCAACGCTTCAGAACGTTTCCTTTCTTTGCCTCAGGCCTGCTCAAGGACAGTAAATGTGACGTTGCTGTCATTCGTACGTAAACCTGGTTATCACAAGACTAACAGGCTGGCGAGAAACTATTGAGTTTGCCCATCAGGGCGATCCGCTCCATGGTGTTCGTATATGGAATCATGTACAGTTGGACACTGTCCTACAAACTACTCAAGTAATCGGTAAAAAAATCTATGAAACCTTGCAGTAGTAATTAGCAGTCGAACGTACCATAGTACTGTTAACATTTGATGTCAGGAGATCAGATTTACCCGAACAGCTTCATCGTGTGACACGTTTCGCTGCTCATTATGGCCTACCTCTGCCCTGTCGAAATCCATCCCTCTTGAAGATCGGTCCGTGCACACCATCACCATAGGACTCAGAGCGTTCGACCGCATGAATTGCTGCATGTTACTAGCGGCCTGTAAATCAGGAGCGGCATGTTGATGTGAGGAACATACTTGCAGGGCTGGCGTGTTCCCTCCTGGATATGGCTTTCGTTTCTTCGCGGTCGTGATTGCCGTCTGATTGGCTACCTGCCGCGGAACGCTTGGCTGTTGCGAACCGTAGCCACCTGCATGTGTACTCAATTCCGAGCCTTCCCATACACTCGGCGACTTGGAACAGCAAGGCTGAATGGCTCAGCGAGTTGGCCTACAAGCAGGACTTGTTGGTTTGGTCTACTCTACGCTTTCAGCTTCTATATATGCACAGCATTCGGGAACAACAGTCAACATCTCATTCCGCCTCGAACGACCGCTCGGCGAGTGACTCGCCGTTTCCGACGTCACTGCAACAAAAAACGCCACACTGTGGCAGAACACAAATCGCAACAAACGCACATGTAACATGCCCTTTCATAACAATACACCTGGTTGGTCCGGGCACATGGTGCCACAATCACATCACCTTTTTTGGGTCGATAGCGGAGTGATACACCAGTGTCTCGAACTGACCACCCCGGCTGGCTCGTGACAGCATGTTTTCCACCTGCCCGAGTGCAAGTGACACAAGTGCTACGGTTCGTCGCAATGAATCAACCAGGGCACGCCATGCTTCCTTCCAAGTGACAACGAGCGAGACATGTCCGTGGCGCATCATAACAGGGTCATGCACTGATACAGCACACCGTGATTCTAGCACGCCGAAAGGATCGGGCAATTCAGCATGAATATCACATGAACGAAAACACGATTGGAACGGTATTCATTGCTGAGAGATATAGCCGCAATAAGGCCATTATTTAATCAGGAAAAAGTGTCGCGACGTGGAGGAAACTCGAAGCTTAGAGGTACACCTACTGTTGTTCCGTCCTGACTATCAAGTCCACACCTCGACAGAAATTAGTCCTTTCCGTCTTCTACCACAAGCACATGTGGTGGCAAAGACCAGGTTACAGTAGCTGCATGACGTGCCTGCCGGCAGCCCTGTATGGTGTTGCAGAACACGAGCGTCCTTAAAGCCATCCGACGCTCCAGCTGAGAGAGCAAGGCATCCCGTTTTCTTGCCAAACCGGTCTCCTCGTTCCGAGGCTCACCAGGCGGGCCGCTGCAATCGATCAACACCTGACCCATCGCATGGTAGATATCCGTGATGGTAAGCAAGGTTCCACGCATGAAGCTCGTCTGCCACAGCCACTCTTCCGGTCACTCGCTAAACGCTCAAACGAAACTTTCGGAAAACCGGAATATCCCGCCCAACGGCCACAACTGTTAACCGAGCTTCATTCACCCGTGTTCCCTCAAGGTACCCCTGTCGTCGAACTTCTACGTGTTGAATACCGCGCACTCCCTCTCGCCTCACCTCCTCCACACCAGGGGCGATGCGGTGCAATCCAGGCCCGAGAAGGAACTTGGTGCCGGGAAACTCCTCCTTCAGCATGTCCGATACACTCTGCGGAGCCAGAAAAAAGCCAAAAAAGTTACAAGAAGCAATCCGAGGCAGGTAAACACCCAGCAGTTTTAGGTCACCCGCATTTTAACGCTACACACACGAGCTTTTCCGCACAAGCAACATCAAACCAAATATTTTCGTACCGGACACAGCTACCTCAATTCAAGCATCCGGTGACGACGCCAATCTGCGGCATCGC